GCCGGTGGAGGTAGTTCTCCGCCGGGGTATCCCGCCCTCAGGGCATAGCCATAGGCTGGGGCCGGGGCCCGGTTTCGGGACGCCGCACTTGGGCAGCAGAGCTACGGCTGCGGGAGGTGGGCGGCGGCGTGTTGGGTCCTGGAGGGTCGGTTACTGTGTCACAATCAGATCTCAAGGTGGTAGCAGCAGGGCCCGCTTTAAATACCATCTTTTGCAGCTTGCATATGGCTGGCAGCAACTTCTCAGCACGCATTTATCTCACACACACCCCCAAGCTTCCCAAAACAGTGTTTGTCTTCGCAGTAGGGCTGTTGTCCCTTTGACACGTTTGGCTGTGATAAGAGCCTCACACAATGCAAGCAGATCAGCATTAGCGCACGTGTTCGGAGTATAAACAGTAAGGACTGCACCAATTTGGTGAATTATTTTTTGAAAGGTTATTCTGGTCCAAAGGAAGCTTTCTTTTCCAGTGGAGAAATGTGAAACTTTGACAGTGTGCCTGAAACGGAAGTTATGGGCAACTGAAAGTTACGGCCTGTACAAGCTTTCATGTTCTCTGGTGAGATTTAGGTTCTTCTGCACAACTGATCACCTAAGTGAAGTTACGCAGACACCAGCAGAAGTATGCTGCTGGTTGTTTAGAGAAACAAGTAAACATAAACCTTGAACAAACATGGCAAGAAGCTCCAGGTTTCTCATCAGTGTTGTTAGTAGGACTTAAGGACTGACTGATGTACCTATTAAACCAAGACACTGATTAAGCGAAACTTGGTGTAGTTTTTAATGCCATGATGTAACAGGCAGCATTTCTAAAGAATGCAGGGAACACTAAAATAAATTTGCCTCCAAAATAAAAAAAAAAACCTAACCAACTTTTTTCATAAACCTTGAGGTGTTTTTGTGAATAGTTGAAAATAGCAAAGAAAATATCATGTTTCAGTAAAAGAAAATGCATTTGCTCCTTTAAACGTCTGAACCTTAATCTTTTATGATAATATTCCTAAAGCAGCGGTGTAAGTGGTGTCTGACATCACTAATTTGGTGTTTGTAGGGATTTCTTCAGCTGTCAGAGGGCAGACAGAGAGCTAAAATCTTGGCAATGTATTATGTTCACCTTTGGAAGGAACACTGTACTTGATATATTTGATGTTTTTCCATAGCTTGTTTATCTCCTATAGCTATCTGGGTGCTTATACTGCTGAAGTATTGTGCTGTAGAGATGTGATTTCATCACTGAAATATTATTTGTGCCACTTCATTTGTACAGGGCCAGATAATTACTTACAGAAACTGTCAAGTAATTTATACTGTAAAGGTGACCTTTTTCTCTTGTCCATGTAAAGGTTATGGATGTTGGAATTGCAATTACTTTTTAGATGATATGGAGAAGCTTTATTCTGTGGAGTATGTTCAGAGAGCAGTAGCTCTCTAGTTGAAATGATGATTTCTCTATTACCAGATTACTAATGTTTATGCTAATATGCTACTAACACTGCTCTGGAGAGCTACCTTTCCCAGCATGCAAGTGACTAGCTGACAAAGAATACATAATTTATTATACCACCTGTCTGTTGGAGATTTATCAAACTCTCTGAGAAATAATTGATATTTATGATGATTTTGTGACTTTCATAAGGTACCAAATTAGGGTTCATCCAGCATGCAAGTTTGCCTCATTAATTTCTCTAAGATTTCTCATGTAAGGAAAAGTTAAACGTTTCAAACTATTTCATTTCTTTTTTATGGCATTCTTTTCTGTATACAATGAAGACACTTTGCCATACGGTCCCCTCCGTATATATTGTCAGTTAGTCTCAGTTCTCCAGTATTGCAGCACAACTTTTGCCGTTACGCTCTGCATGTATTTACAACATCATTTACAATTTTTTTTACAATTACAATTTAATTTAGGTTAAAATAATAAATGAAAAGTTCTTAATTCTTGTATTTTTAGATGTTTACGAGGTTTAATGTCATGTATATTTAAATTGTATTTCCCTTCTCCTTTTCCTTTTCAGTCTTGCTCCATGGGTACCAGTTGTGGGTCTTGAAATTCATGCACAGATCAGTTCCAACTCAAAACTTTTCTCTGGTTCCCAAGTCCAGTTTGCAGCACCTCCTAACTCTTTGGTATCTTTCTTTGATGCTTCTTTACCAGGAACTTTACCAGTAAGTTATGCTTCAACTTAATTTATATCAGGATTAATGTCAGACAACTTTGAGTGTGTTTCTAATACTTTGTTCTTCCCAAGATTTCACTATAGAACTACTTCTAAATATTTTTCCATTTTCTGGTTGGTTGATAACATGAGATGCCTAGTACTGTTTCTTTTCAGTTTACTCGCTCCCTGGTTATCACTACAGATACTTGATGTCCTCTGCAGTGTCTCTTCAACATATTGAATGAATCGCAGTATTTCTCTGAGGCCAGAATGGGTGTATTTGATTAGTATGCCACAGAGGAAATTCCTTAAATATGAGAGGTACTTAAAATCCTATGAGAGAAGAACATCTTAGATTTCCGAGTGGCCATTTGATGTTACTTTGCCATATGTTTGTTTATGTAGCTGTCATTTGCCATTTGGAATGTCTCACTATGGAGGTACTTTGCTTCCTAAGTAGGAAGTCTCTTTTTTAGGAAAGTGTCAACCAATCCTATTTCCAGAGCAAAACAATTATTTAAAAAGAAAAAGTAATCTGTGTGAGACATTGTGGGCTAATAAGTCAGAATAGCTAGCTAGCACTTAGCAATGAGGTTTATAAGTCACAATGTATTAAATTTTTGAAGTCACAGCTTAATTATAACTTTGTGATAGCTATGACAGTACTGCTGTAGAATTCTCTTGGGAATCTAAAAAGTTTAATATAAAAATAATACTTAAGAAGCTATAACATAAGCTCTTACTACACAGTGAAAATAAATATTGAATAGACTTAGCATTGCCTCATGCAACAAGTGTGCAGATACTATAATGGGGTCAAATTATTTAATGCAAAAGTGTTTCACTGAGTATATTTATGTGGAGTGGAGTGGTTTCAATTCCAGTTGCAGATTTTTTTTTAATCTATTGGAAGCTTTTCATCACCGTAATACAGCCTTAAATAATACTCTGAAATTGAGAATTAACTTATGGCTGGATTTCTCGGGTCTCAATATGCCTTGTGATTCTTAAAAAAAGAAATGAGCTGATATATTCATTCTGTATTTGCAAAAGTATTGTTTAGATGCTGATGAAATTTTTACTTCACTCTGGTCTCAGTGGCAATTCAGGGCTGAATTTCGGGTCTAAATATATGGAAATCTTGAAAACTTTTCAGGGAGAATGGGAATCTTACACAATTGTTTGGTTTTAGAAAAATCTAGTTACACTTAAACACAACAACTTAATTCATTTCATTTGGAGGCAGGGCTAACTTAGGGAGTTAATAGTCACAAAGTTTAAAAGGGTTCAAGATTTTGGTTTTAGACCTACTTAACAATCTGTTAAATGCACAGAAATCCTTGTAAATTGTCTTATGCTTATCTTCAGTCAAGTAGAAAAACTGTTCTTGAATGAACAAAACCGATTATTTATGAAGAGTTTCTTTTTTATGTATGTTACTATTTATCTGGGAGGTTTTTCTTGCTTTTTCGTCTGTTAAAGTGCTTTACAAATAAGGCTTGGTACGACCAATGTGAGAAAACTCCAATAAATGTGGGCTTTGGCAGAGAATATAACTGCATGTGAGAAGCAAAAAGCAGGATGGTTAGGTTAGTTTAAAAGTAGCGATGCTATGTTAACTTCTACCAGCTGCTTTTATCTATACCAAAGAGAAGAAAGATTTTTCTCACTGTAGTACTGGTGAAAATAGAGTTGAAAGTAAATGTTATGAAATACATGTTCTTACATGTTAGAATGTGATACAAAATCCAGCTAGTAGTCATAGCTTTATTTTGGCCTTTTACTTGCTGCACAGGAGTCAGAGACCTATGTTTTTTCTGGAATCAAACACTTGGGCTTATTTTCTTGAAATAACTATTTGTGTTTGTATATGCCACTAGCATCTGATGTAGAATTGGATTTTGGTAGATTTTGAAAGATGGAAGGTAGTTTTTGAAAATTTGCAAGTATTTGTAAAAAAACCAAAACAAACCACAACCCAACATTTTAACAAATGTTAAGATTATTGCCTAGTAAGTCTCTTTAGAAGGTAAATATTTGGCTTTTCCTTTTGACCCTGTTTTGTTGAGAAACAAAAAAAAAAAATTGAAGCAAAATTTTGGTACAGTAGTAGTTCTATCTGCAGCAGAGAATAACTGCTGTTATAAACTGAGAGCTCTAGGGGCAGTTTTCAATCTCACAGGGATTTGAATTTATTGTGGGACCATGAATGGTTGTGATAGACAACCACGCTAGTATTTGCTGCTTCACAACACACCAGAAAGAATGGTGCTAAAGGGAGCTTTTCTGGTTGCTATACGTTTCTGGGTCACTAATGAGTGTGGGCATGAGCCTTTGCTGTGCTCTGCATAGGAGAGGGGAAATGAGGAGAATGTGTTTAGCTCTCGTCCATCTTTCCTCTTTATATTTTCTTCCCGTTCTATAATACAGATTATTTTATGCTTCTGCCACAAGTAGGTCTTAGGAGGACCATCAGAGTGTTAGTGTCATGGCCATTTCACTGTGTTGCTCTTATAATGTGCCTTTGAGAGACAGCTACAGGCAAGCACAGCTATGCAGGTGCACTCCTGTTTGGCATGAGACAGAAAAAATGATGGGGCAAAGCTTTGATTGAAAGAGTAGATTTAGAAGTAGTGAGACTGGATGGCATATCGCATGCTATTCTGCACACTTTTTGTGCCCTGTGGTGATGGAGCCCCTCATCACTAGGCCAGATATCATCTTACTCAAATTACTGTAAGGCTCTCCTTTCTTTGGGACTACATATGACTATATACATTACATGTCATGTAATGAAATGTGCAAAGACCTGGGTTTTTTACCTGGTGAATGGACTTGGTGATGACCTTAGCTTGGTGTGTTTAGAGGACCTGTTATACAGAAAGTTCTACACTACGCATGGTGGCATATAGTGCGTCATACCTGCAGATTGATCTAAAATTCTTCTGAGGATCCATAAAGGGCGTTGCACTCCCAGCCTGATTTATCCTCTTTGAAAATTCTGAGAATCCTTATAAAGGTTTATAAAGACAAGACTGGCCTACAGAAAGAGAATCCGTGATTATCTATTCTTATGATAGAGGTGACTGACTAAAGGTTAATCACAGCTCAGCCACAGGAATAAGATGGTAGATCTAGTAGCTAAAGGCTGAAACCTTTTTGTCTGTGCTTACAGTCTTTGTTGCTAATCACACGAAGAGATGCACATTTTACCTTTGTCTCCTTCATGACTAAAGTGAAAGCCTGATTCTATTTCTTTGTAGGCAAGTGTTCTAAGAAAGAATCCAGGATTTCTATAACCAAGGTTTAAATTAATAAGACTTGAATGAATGTTATCCCTACAGTCTTAAGTATTTTGGAATTTTTGACACCTTCTCAGGCATTTGAATTTCATTCTCTTCACAGTGTGAAGAGCATCTGTTCTATCTTTTTTTAAGGTAGAGTTTTCAGAAACATTCGATAATGATCAAGCTCTCTTTCTAATGAAGAAAAGGTAAATACCGTCTGACCTCAAGAAACAGAGTAATATCTGTGTTGAACACTGCTGTAGAATATCATGGGAGATGTATGACTTTATCTGAATATACAATTTTTTCCTGTTCCATTGAACATCCTTGAGGACTTGACAACTCACTCATTGCTTCTATCCTGTACTGAGATTTTCATATCCTCTTGTTTTGAACTCCTTTTGTTTTCCCTTTGTAAGTAGTGTTAGAAGGAAGCATTTGGGTCCTACTGTATCTTCTCTGATCTGTATAATGACAGTTGGGCAACCACATATGCCTTTTCATGGAAGAAAGCAGGGCTAGAACAGCTATTAGTACTTGTTCCTTCTGGTATTGCGCCACTGGCAACTTAAACCCCAAACTCTGACTTCTCCAAAGCTGAGGAATGTCACTGCAACACTGTGCAGTACTAGAGAGAATGTGCATCATGCTGTTGCCTTCCCCACCCTGCAGTGCTGCACTGTTGGGATGGCTGCTCAGGGAAGTGACAGGGTTAATACCCAGTTTGAGGGTGTAGAACGTGCTTTAGTTCCCCTTCCTCTATTGACACTGCATCCATCCTTGTCAGTGGCAGATACCCAGTGTTTTTCCAGATGTCTTGGGTGATAGATTATCAGACTTTATGATGATTTTTTTATGTTACTAATAGACAGAATTTACCTGATGCATTTGCTTTCTGAGGCACTGAGAGGTTTGTGTGAGATTTTGGTGGATCTGTCTGTCAGCTATACATACTGGAACAGAAACAGCGTTTGAGACCAGAATTTATACTTTACAGTCTGAAACTAGACTTTTTGATGTCTGTGCCTGTTAAATCTGGTGATTGCAACAGCTGCTTTACCAACTTGTAATTTC